TGCAGCACTTCTTGCTAAAGTAAATAAAGCTGCAAGAACAACTGCTCAGATTAAACCTTTACATTTGTCAAATCACAATAGGCCATTTAGGGCCTGATCCTGCTCAGCTGGAGATTCCCCTTTGCTCCAATAGGATACAGACCAAATTCCTAATAAACTCCTCCATGAAAACAAGATTCCTTCATAGTTAATCTCCTGTTCATTCATCAATCTTTACCATTTTATAAATTCATAGGAGCTTTTGAAACCTTTCACGCAATTCAAAATGAAAAGCAGAATGTTTCAGCAGCAACTTGTAAAGAATAAACCAAGTTGCAGCTTGAAATCATCATATGTGCATCAGTAGTAAAAAATTCATCTCATGCCATTTTTGATTCAGCAGAATGTATTATTTTTTTTCAGCAGCCTTGGTTACCTATGATTTCAGAGGCCTGTAGAACCTAAGTGAATTTTTGGGGGAAAGTATATTTTCCTAAACTTGCTCCAGCCTTCGTTTGAATGCATTAGTTGTTCATCTTTATGCTAACCACTGTCAGCAGTAAGTGTGACCCCAGCCATCCTGTTTCTGACAAGAAGCAGGACGTTCTGGACTCAATAGCTGAAAATGCTGTTTGCTTCAGCTCTGCTGCTCCCATCTCCAAAGAGAACAACAGCAAAGTGCAAGTATTGAAGTCATGTTCCAGCTGACAAAGAATTGTTAATTTTGCTGCTAGTACTAAGGCAGTAATGAAGTAAAGATGACAAAGATCACAAAGCACCAGACTGCAAATCATTTGAATCATATTTTGAGTGGTGTATTATGGTAACATATAAATAACTAATTGCATAAAATTGCTTTAGTAGTTTCTAGATGGCAGCTTTAATTAAAAGCACCGGAGACATTTAGAAGTTTAGAAATAGATGGCATGTAATTTGCCCTTTTACCAACCATAAAATGGTAATTAACCAATTTGATTCACTTCTTCCTATTAAAAGTTTTATGAGAATCACAAGTTTCTTCTAAATACAATTTTTCTCCGGCTGAAGGTGGCATTCTCTTTTATCAGTCCTCACCAGTGGTTTTAGATGTTCATGTATAAACTCTTCAGAAGCTTAATTGGAAGTTTTCAATGTGAAATGATCATTTGCAAAGTTTTTAGCTGAGCAGAAAGTGTAAATATTCAGAAGAAGGTAGTATGTAGCTCTAGCTATTGTTCACTGCTGTGTTCCGAAAAGGATTTGTTCCTGGGAAGCTTCTTAAAACATGACTGTGATCTATGACACAAGGCAGAAAGAATCTGTCTTAATTGGGAACTGGCTGTATTAATTTTAATCTGCATTTTCCAATTTAATTATAAATCCACCATGAGTTTAGCTCCATTAATGATGCAAGGCCAAGTTTCGAGAGTGAAAGTAAAGGTCAGATCTATAACATTCATATGTATCTTGAATTTATACCTATGGGAACTACACACAGAAGTGATCAGTTAACTTTCAAAGTGTTATTTGCATTTTTAATAGCATATGTATGCACACTGAGATCTGTCAGGAGAAATAACCCTGTACCAAAATCACTCCTCAGAGTACATAATAGGAGATAGAACAGTCAGCCTTCTACGTACGTCATGGCTGTAACGAGCCCATCCAAGTATTATTTTGTGCAGGAAACAGAATGAGCAAAACTTCTGCTGCTGTCTTTTTCGTGATGGTGCTTCGTAGCCATGTGATCACACCAGCAACACTCCGTTGCTAAATGTTGGTTAGCAGAATTAAAATGACAAAGCAAAGCAACATCTAAGAACGACTGTTGCCACTCAGAGTGAGCAGTGACAACTCTTAGACCCAGTGCAAATCATCACACATTGGTACACGTGGGCCCTCTACTTCCTCATGGTTAAACATTACACTGTACATCTGAAAAGGATTAAAATAAGCTCTTGGAGTACAGATTAGGTGAAGCATCACAGAAGATGTGATCAGGAACATTAATGAATCCAGCTGTAACAATGAATAAAGTGGGGCAGTTGAGTCACAAACCTGTGTTTTGTTTTCGATTGGATGCCTTACACAGGGCATTTCTCAACACGTTTTAAATGCATAAGTAATTTTTTCAGACAGGCAAAGTCACATTATTTTAGTATATAGGAGTGAGCACAGGTCCACTGTGGAACATCTGTATGCTAGTACTTGAAGAAACTTAGCTAACTAGGCTAAGTTTATCATTATATATAGATAGATAGATAGATATAGATATAGATATAGATATAGATATAGATATAGATATAGATATAGATATAGATATAGATAGATAAATAATGCCTTTTCAGGCATTTATCATCTTTTGCTGTAATACTGAAGACATGGGCTTGTTTATGCCACACTGGCATATGTACTTCCCCTGCAGATAGCCTGCCTTTCTGCCATAGCTGGAAAGTAAAATGTGTGTTGTTATTGCAAAAAGATCTTTGGTTTTCTTGTATAGGCAGTGTTTGAAATCCATTCAGCAACACAGCTGAGTAGCTTTGTTTCATTTTTGCATAATTTCTGACTTTTACATAATGGCTGGTTTGCAGCCAACAGAGCCATCTGCTTGCAGGGAAATTGCATAAAACAAGATGCACTTGCCCTGATGATGGATCCTGGCCTTGGTTGTCCATGACATGGATCCGGCCCAGGTGAGCAGTACTGCTCCTTGCTGCCCATGCAAAGGGAGGCCCCAAGGCACAGCAGCTGTGCTGTAGGTCCCACCCACATCAGCTTTCTCAGTTCAAAGCATGAGCTATGCTGAAAAGCAGAGCAAGTCTTAGCTCATCTTTCTGTGTCTGATATACCAACAGCTCCATAAGGCATTATCAGGAAGGCTAGAAACACCTCCAGCAATCACAGCTACATTCACGCACCGTCCATACCACAGCAAGGCTTTTTTTCCCCCCTTCCATCAGAAGGAGCCTTGAAGAGACTTTCAAGAAAGTTGTAAGAGTTAAGGGGCTGGATCTGAAGAGAACTTCCCACTAAGAAGAAATCCTAACATGGTTTCCTAACAGCTTTTTCAATTTCTAATCCATTGGCACGCTTTAACTTTACCATGCAGCACTGCTGGGAGCAGTGCAGAGCCCAGAAAGGATCTCAGGTATGCAGAGTGCCTCAGCAGGAACAGAAGATACCCAAGAGCTCCTTCTGCTCTGTGGCCCCACACTGTGGTAGAAGGAGATGAACATCGCCCTTCTCATTTACACACGTACAAACCAAAGGTCAGCTCGTGAAACCTAGGCCACCAGTCTGCATGATACGGGGGAAAGGCAAGCCCTTGTAACCTGCTGGCCCCTCTGTAGAGACTGGTGTTGATGTTATTCCTGCTCTCTGCTAGAAAAGCATCCATGGGTGATTTATTCTGGGGCTCTGCCATTGGCTGGCATTGGCACTGTAAGAGGCAGCCCGAAGGCCAGACATGCTTCCAGCTGCCAGATGCACATGTACCCAGGGGCCTGGAGGGACTGTCAGCCTCACAGATCTGTGTGATGCCCATCACAGCTGCCTGGTCCTGCCTCTGTCCCCCACACTATTTCCCCACCGCCCTCAGCTACCGCTGCTCCTATGTATATAAAGAAGTGAAATATCAGGAAGATGGACTAGGAGATGGGGGGAAAAGTTATTTTTTTCTTTTCTTTTCTTGCATAACGGTGTATGGAATTGCTGCATGATATCCTTAGCTGGCAGGCGGGCAAGTATTTTGTAAACTCAGAGAACATGCAGCCTTCAGTTGTGCTAAATGCAGGGGACAAAAATCAAGAACCATATAAGCTACTGTCCAAACCATCTGTTCAAGCCCTCTGCCTTTCATTTCTGCGTAGCAGAACATCAATTCATTATTAAAATAGCTTGGCTGTGCACAGCAGCTGCTATAATTGCAAGTTATGCAACTTTAAATGGGAAATTATGAAGTAGTTTAAAGCAAGAAATTGAGCAGGTTTAGTATTTCACAAGCCTAACATGAACAGAAGTGCTCTTTAGCTATTTTCAGCATTTCAGGAAAGAAGGATCCTACATACATTTTGCACAATATAGAAACATCTGGCAAATATTGAATGCAGGAAGAAATGAGGAAAAAATATTAGACTGGGATAGACCAGGGTCAGGCATGGGTTGTGACACAGAAGAACCACACGCTGCTGGTGGAAGCCAGCAAGCACTCTGTGCTCCAGCTTCCCCAGTGAAATACAGAACATATGGAAATACAGAAGACCGTGAACTCTGCAGTGCCCTTGTGTTTGTTTCAGGCTCCATCTCTCCTTTGCAGTGTAGTGATGCTCGAGCTAAAGCAGACCCAGCAGCACCAGCTCTTGCTGAACCGCTCTTCTCATGAGACTGGTTCCAGTAGGTGACCCTGTGCTCTGGGTAACACCACACTGCAGTACATTCTGCAGCACAGGTATTCCTTCCACCTGGTAAGCAGAGCCCATTTTGTACCATTAGTATGTATAGCCCCTGCACTGCAAAAGTCATTCTTGCTTTCTGTTGGTGTTTCCTCCTTGCTCAGATGCTCCAGGAAGTCACACAATGCAGTACTACAAAAAATTGCTTCTCCATGAGAATTAAGAAAGTGGAAAATGAAGAAAAATCAAGTGCAAGATAAGCTTTTCGAAAAGCTGATCTTGTCCCCCTCTGTGATGAAGGCCACGAAGCCATTGAGCATAATTTTATATTATATACATGACAAGAAAAGCACTTGCTGCTTTGTTCTCTTTCTTCCTTATATTTTCCTTCTTTTTGTGAGTCAGAGACAGTCTCATGTCTGGATAAGATCTTTCCATATACAATTTGTATAAGCCTCAAATAAGTAATAGGTAGGAAAAAAGCTGAGTCGTTCTCATTTTAATCATCTGATTTTCAGAGCCTTAAGAGGAGAGGAAATATTTCTTTAATCTGGAAAATGTCAATGCTAACACTTTTTTTTCACCCTTTCCTTTCATCTAGGTATCACTATAGATAAGCATGGATTTATTTATTTCGTTGACGGTACCATGATTCGGAAAATTGATGAGAATGGCGTGATCACAACAATAATAGGTTCCAACGGCCTCACATCAACCCAGCCACTGAGCTGTGACTCTGGAATGGACATCACTCAGGTAGACACCTGTTTTTTTGTGTGTTTTGTCACTCTTCTACACATTGTGGAGACAGAAGGATTGGTTTCTTGTACGAGGATTATATATCAGAATATGCCAGATGAATCAGGTAACTCTGAGCTGCACAGTGCGGAGTGAATCTTTCATTCACATTATTATTTCAAGGTGTGTTATATAAATGTATAAGGTGTATTACATAAATGCAAAACTGTGTGTTTGATTTTATCCAGGAGTTTTCATGTGAGTGTGTAGAGAGTATATAATGAATATATGCTGCTTTGGAAAGTTGCTAGCTAATTTCAGATACAGCTTCCTAAGAGTTTATGGGATGTTTAGAGTACTTTCCTTTAGTCCAGTATTCAGACTGATTTGCTTGAACTGCTAAATGGAAAATATATATATTCTGTTGACATCTAAGTCTGTTCTAAATCATGGAAGAGCATTACAGTATGTAATTACAAAACAGCAGTACTGTAGTGAAGCTGCTGCCTTTCAGTGTGTTTCTCCAAGTGCTTTTCAGTTCTTATTTCAAGAGCAGCGTAAAAGAAATTGAACTAAAGCACACTTACCATCTCTCTAGTTTACACTAAAAAGATATATAGATAATCACGAAGAAACATAAATAGTGCTCCTGGCTAGTCAGTGAGCCACCCTTATAGATAGCACAAGGAAGGAATTGGCCTTTTATCAATAAATACTTGAATTAATCAGTTTCAAAATAGGGAAAAACAGGAAAACAGTACTTGAAGAAAACTTGAGGCATTCATGTAGCATACAGGGGATATATTTATTATGGACTGTGAAAGCTAATAACTGCCATCCTGTTGATTTTGCATTTCGTTTTCTCCCTGCCCTTCCCTCAGTCTTTCACAAATGCAAAATCACAGCTAAAATATACTGCATAACAGTGGTAAGAACTTGCTCCTAGATTCTGAATAGAGTTTGAATTACAGCAGTAAAAACGTACGTGTGGAATATGGAGTCAATGCCTTGGATAATTTTTATCAAATTTCACAAGGACAAACAATGCAATGTAGTGCTACTGTCACAGCAGCACCTGAGGATTGTATTACTAGGGTCAAAACTGAAGATAGTGTCCTTGTTCCACTTTGCATGTCACTAAGCATTTGAAAATGCAGGACAGGGAAATGATAGATATACCTTCTTATTCTCTCTGGTTCAGTAGATATGTAGCTTTTCCATGTAAAGCAGAACAACAGGGTCAATTGAGTTAGCTGTGCTAAGCCCAAGCTTTAACTAGCCTAGCAGTTGTCTTAAGGACATGTTGCTTCTGGGCACCTTGACTTCTGCTCCGGCACCTCGTCTTGTAGGATAGCCAGTCCTGCAGATGATGAGCAGGAACCCACTGAAGCAACCAGTATTCCACAGCTGGAGGCACTGACTCTCCGCTCCATTGCTGCAGACCTGCTGGCGGGAGCCATGCTTCATGGAACTTATTGCTGCCTGAAGCACGTTTGCTTGCTTCTTGGATACACATAACAAATGCCTGGGGCATCAGTAACCAGATTAGAGATCTCAGAGGGACGTGGAATGGAGCCAGGTGCATTGTCTGCTCCCTGCCTCCTGCTTGTGATACACGTCTAAGGCTGTACACATATCTGCTTTTTTGGTCATATAATTTGCGAGTGTGTATTTATGTGCAAATTTTTGCTTATGTCCCTCATTTTGCTCAGTAACAAAACGTCTCACTAAATCTGAAATGTGATCCTTCATGTTGATGGTTTTCCATTCCTTTTTAAAAAATACAAACTCCCTTTAGCAAATTACTTTCAACAGGGGGTCTGGCAAATATAGAGATAAAATGGCTTTGTTTTTAACATGAAAATGAAGTTGAAAAGGTAAACTCTTCAGGTTGAAATCAAACATACCAAAGTTGTAAATAGCTCTGTCCCCTAAAATCTGGTTTTATGGTGGGCTGGCTACTTGCTGGAAACAGATCTAGTTTACCTTAGTCCGCAATACAGGCCAAAAGACACGGAGAAAAAACTTCTGCAAAATCATAGTTAAGAAGATGCATGTCATAAGGCAAGTTTTTCTTTGTATTGCTTTTTGGGCATGGGCGTTCAGCTGTGATAGGGTCTTCCTTCCACAGAAGCAGAAAGGCACTTCTTTCTCTATGAACAAGCCTTATGCTTCCATTTCACAGCACCGACAGGTTTCTACTGCAACAAATTTCTGACCAGTTTGCGAAGGCTTCAGCATTCTGGGAGATGGAGATACTTTCTTATCACAGACAGTGAGCCAATCTTCAGCTAAATTGAGAATGCATGTCAGTAAATATTCGAAACAACAAAATAAATGATGGCATATTAAATCAGCCATTAAATTAAACCTAAAAAGCAGCAAAATAAGCTGTAGTAATAATTGCTGTCTAATTCTCTGTCACTGGTAGGTGAACTAACAATGCTAGCAATCTGCAGTATAGATGTACATGTTGCTTAAGGAAGCATTTCTTATTTGGAACCTTTATTTTGTGGGTTCCTAAGTGATTCTTCTTACTGAAGTTTTTCTCAAGATCCAGAATTTTGAGTATTTTCACATATCTTGTAAAGCATAGATGCTAAATGAATACCTGGAATACATGTTCTGAAAAGTAGCTCTATCAAATTTGCTTAATAGGGTGTTGGTTTTTTTTTTTTTTTCAAAATTGTTGTGATAACCAGAAAACTGAGAAATAATCACATCCCATTGAAGTCAAGCATGTTAATCTGAAATTATATCTAAGAAAATAAGGGATATTTTCATTTAGTCAAGATAAGTTTGTGTCCTTGCAAGACCACTGAGTTTATTCCAGCTTGGCATCAACAGTAATGAAAAACGAATTTGGCCATCTCCAGTTAGATAGTTTTTTGGCTAAATTACAAGTGGCATTTACATCAAGAGAGTGTGGGTTGCTCACAAATTGTGTGTTTAGAGGGACTTACGAAATAGGCAAATAAAATCAATTCTCAAAGCTAAATTTGCTCTGACAATAAAATCAACAACTTGCTCAAAATCAATATATCTTGATTTACTGAAATACTAAAATGTACTCTTGAAGTAAACACATAGAATAACTGCCTGTTGTGAAAAGTACTATAAATGACATGCTTTCACTTTAAGGCATTCACTTTAATATATGAGTTGATTATGAAAGTATTTAATCATTTATTCCAATATCAGGTTTGACAGAAACACATCTTTCTAATCACTCTCTGTTTGTTATTCAGTGCTTTCTCCTTCTTAAGAGAGAATTTTATATTCATAACAGATAGGGGTGGGGGTAAGGACAGCTGGGGTTGAAGAGATTATGTGTTGTGGCAAATAAACTACCCAGCTTTGACTAATTGCTTTGATCTCATACTTCACTCTGAGGGTGTTAATCTGAATTTAGAAGGAACAGGACGTTAGGTTGAGGTATTTATATGGTATTCTGGTCTCCTCAGTACTGTTTCTGCATGTATAAAACTAGCTTGAGTGACTTCTCAGCGCAGTGCAAGTTCATTTGTTAATGAGAAGCCCGTCTAAAGAAAGCTGCACGTCATAACCAGATCTGTGAACATGCTTTACACATGTATATGTACTCAGAGCTCACCACGGGTGCCAAAATTTTGGCGGTCGCCTACATTAAGGTCAGCTATCTGGTATCTTCCTTTGTAGTGCTACTCATCCTTTTTGTAAATGCTGAGCCCAGAACTGTGAATATCGCCACATGAACAAGGGCTAAACTTTTAAGGTAAAACATTTTTCAAGAATATCAAAAAGAGCTGCTAGCATTCCCTCAATCTAAGGGTGTAAATATTCACCTCACTAATATACGGCGAATCAGAATCTTTGGCTGATTTCCAACAAATCTGCAGAGGAAAATTGCCTTCACAGCAATTAAATTCCTACAAGTCCCATACAAAATATTAATCCAGTTACGGGAGAAAGACCTAAAGTGCCCTTTCAAAAGGAAATATTGCAGCACGGGCTTTCTTTTATTAAACTCTAGAGAATCCACTCAGGATCTAATAAATGCCCCATTCACGGGAAGAGCTTCGTTTGGTGCTTGGATTTTATTAAACTCCCAAGTCAGGCAGCCATGAGACATGAGTCCTTAGGAAACTGGACTTCATTAGATCCAATGTTCCTAGAAGTTATACTGATATGGTGGGAGGTTTTGTGTCAAAGGAAACGTATTTCAGCTCAGGTTGAGCAATAAGCTTTCTTTCTCTTCTGCCTCCATTGCTTTGGTGAGAGCCGAGGAGGGAATTAGCAGATATTTCTACCATCTTGCAATTTCACCCCCTATCTTTCCTCCCATGAGAAATATGTGGGCTGAATTTCCACCACTCTGTACCTCGAGTCATTTATAATTTTGCACTCAGTGTTTGGGAACAGCGTAAACCAATCTTGAGCTCATTCCCTGCGAATGAAGAGACTAAACGTTTGCAAGGAAACAGAAAATGAATCCCAGGAGCTTTCTCTTAGCCTGAAACCATGGCCTTGTTCTCAAGCTGATGTCAGTCCCAGCAGGCATGAGTCTGTGCCAAAGCAATAGCTCCGGCCTGATTGATGGTGTTAATAACTGTCACTGCTGTGTTGCAAAATGAAAGGTCTGGTTTGAAGACTTTTTCTTGACATTTGCACTTCATCAGCTTTTGTTCAGCAGTTCTCCGTGTGAGGGAACCATCTATATTGTGTTGCTTCGCATAAACTTCAGTGACACTGCAAAATGTTTTGCTCCCTCATAAAAATGTGTCAGTGTTACTTATGTAGGCAATTTGCTTGCATAGGTCAAATTAAAAGGCACATTTCTAGAACAAGGTTTAAAGGGGAGTGACTAGACAGGGACCCACACGTGGCACAAGTGCCACATCCTGGGCAGCCTACCTTGAACAAATGATGTGTAGGAGAGAGGAGAGAGCAGTAATTCTGCTCAAGACCCACATGAAACAGAAAAGATGAGCAAAATCGCTTTAAAATGTAGTTTATTTCTCAAAAATGCCAACACTGAC